AATATTTTTCTTAATCCATAGCAAATTCTTTTTCTTTCAGCTGTCTTTAGTAAATACTAGTCATATTTAAAAGTGATATATGGCTTTCCTATTTGCCTGCAGAAATCTCCTTTTCTTCCTGTCAGACTCTACAATGAATAATAACCAGATAATTTTTAAAAATGTATGTTGAGTTCTTTCTGATTAAAAGGGTTCTATAATTTTGTTAGCTGTGAGCTATGTGACTATATACTGCCTTTCTTTCTTTTTCAGGTATTATTGTAAAATCAATATAACCAAAACTAACTGGATTTTTTATTTTTTAGGCAATGAGTAATTCCCCTGCGCCTTTTGGCAGTTTTGGTGGCCTGGTTCGTATCAGGAGAAACAAACCATTCCAGCTGTATTTGCTGACAAATGTTTATTTAGTTATTTACTATTAACTCAAGCTGACTGAATTGGCATGTAGCATCACTAACTTTCATAATGGCTTTTTAGTATTTGTATTGAGAACCTCCATATCAAGTACTAAATTTATCTTAGAGTGTTTAGACATATTTTCTGAAAGTAAGTCATGTCAAACATATGTTAGTCTTCAAAAAGAAAAAGTAGATTTTATTAGGTGAATACTCGCTTGATTTACAAAAGAATCTCCATAGTTGTATTTGACTGTCATGCTTATGATGATCCTCCAAGAGGTGAAGAACCATCAAACTGTAGATGAATGAGCCCAACAAAGCCCAGATGCGTTGTTTTCTCTGGAATTCTGTTGCCAGCTTGTTCATGTTGTTTTTCCTTGCCCATGCGCAAGGATGGCTGCTCTGCAGCTAGCTTTTCTCTCACGGTGTTTCTTTGGGCTTTGATCCCATTTTCTAGGATGTTAGTTTCTAGCACGCCCTAAAGGCATTCTGAGGAGTCGCAGAGAATAGCATGAATTAGGGACATTTGATATGGATGCATCTAAGCGCTCGTGATAGTTTCTTTTTGATTCCTTTGTGCTACGCCTGAACCATTTGTCTCCCTAAAGTTTGACATGTAACATTTGTTCTTCTCGACCATATTTTAGGGAGACAAATGATGAAGGAAAAAAAGCAGTTACAACACAGAGTTATCAGTAAAATGATCAGGAAGTTCAGCACTGGTGGGAGCACACACACATAGAAAAGAGCGCTTAGCCCAGACCTTTTGGGGAGGGGAGGTGAGTGGTGGAGGTCAATGAGGGAAAGCTTCCTGAACCTTAGGGATAAATAAGAGTTAGCCAGGAATAGCAGAAGGTGGAGAGGAAGAGCACTCAATACCGAAGAAACAGCACGTGCAAAGACCTGGAGGTTAGGAAGCTCAGCAGTGTTTCAGGATTACTTAGTCCTAGAGTGCGAGTTGGAGAGTAAATACCAGTGAGGCAGGAGAGGTAACCAGGGACTTCTTTAGGCCCTAATCATGAATGTGGACATTCTCTTAAGAGCAGGGGAACAGTTGATGGATTTTGTGAAAATGTAGTAATAGAGTCAAATTTTCATTTTCAAAAGGCACTGTGCCTGCAGAGGGGAACAAGCATTAAGCGTGCATTAAGTTGAAGCATTAACTAAGTGTTAGTGATAGCTTCTACTTGGGTAATGGTGATGGTCATAAAGAGAAGTCTCTCATTTGAGAGAGCTAACGAGGTGAATGGGTAGAACTTGATTATTGATTAGGTTGTAATAGAGAAAACATTTAAGTGTAACTTCCATTTTTCTGGTAGGAAGAACAGGTGGATGGGAATGCCACTAAGCTAAGAACAGAGCATTGACGCAGTGCGGGTGTGAGGGTGGCGGTGGTCAAAATGATCGCTTCAGTTTTGGCTGTTTAGCTTTGAGGCGTCTGTGGTGAACGGTTGGATATATGGTTTCAGCTAGAGAAAATTTGTTCATTCATTCAGCGGTTATTTATCGAGCCCTTCTCTGGCTATGAGTCAGAATCAACTCGACGGCAGTGGGTTTGGTTTCTGGTTTCTCTGTGCCAGGAATTGTAAGTAAGTAAGACAGAGAAAATAGCCCTGCCCTCACAGCAATTGCAGAGTGGGAAGACAGTAAACAAAAGAATTTCACATAGCCAGAGTCCTCTGAAGGAGATGAAGCCAGGTAAAGAGACAGAGGTGGAGGTGGTGGTCAGGGAAGGCCTTTCTTAGAAGGTGATATTTAAATGATGAGAAGGAACCAACCATGCCAAGAAAGGAGAAAACATTCTCGGCAGAGAGAAGAGCGTGTGTACAAAGTTTCCGAAGGCCTGAGATCCCAGTGGAACCTCAGCTCCAACTTGTACACCACTTTTTGTCACTGCAGGGTGATGGACCACTCCAGAACAAGGGCAGATATGACAAGGCCAGTTTGACAGTGAATAGAGAAAAGGACAATATACACAAATGTCTAACCTTTTCATCATTATCCTCTTTTCTTTCCTTGAGCTAGCCCTTCCCTCTCTTATGTCTTAAATGAATAATTTCTTTTATACGGATCAGTACAAAGCTGGTTCCTATGAGGCTGAGGTTAAAGATGTCCTAAATGTCCAATTTTTCCAAATTGCTGTACCACTCCATCATCTGTAACATCAACTACTCCTCCTCCACTCAGTACTCTCCCTCCCATCTTTGGGTTCTGTAATTCACTGCAGCGTCTCACAGAACTCACGAACCGTTTCAAGGAAGTGGCTCACGCGGTTGTGGAGGCCAGCAAGTCCCAAATCTGTGGGCCAGGCGTAGGCTTCTCCTGACTCATGTGGCCGAATCGGCAGGCCAGATGACAGGCTGCTGGCTCACAGGGCTGTGGAAGCTGACGAATCCCAGAATCGGCAGGTCAGGCAGCAGGCCACTGGCTCAAGTCCCGAGAACCAGAGGTCAGTCAGTGATGAGCCAGACACAGGATCCAGATGCAGAGAGGGGAAGAGCCCCGTGGAGCACCCAAACACATACAATGGATGCAGGCCACACCCCAGGGAAGGGTGTGACTTAAGTAGGAGTGGGACTTGAGTCATGCCCTTCTGCAAGACTGTGACTCAAGATACACCCCACACTAATCCTGCCTCAGTAACACATAGAGGTTAGGATTTACAACACACAAAATGGAGGATAATTAGGATAATTACATCAGATCACAAAATGGAGAACAGCCACACACTACAAGGAATCATGGCCTAGATAAGCCAACACACAATACCAACCACCATACCTCGTTAGGGTTCCGTAGGCCTTCTTTGCATCATCCCATCCAGTCACTGTGTGGGAGTCATAAAGACTGGCTAGCAGGGCCGTGTTAAGTAATTCACTGCACCGCATGTCTCTGAGGCTCTGATCCTCATCTGTGTTAAAATATTCAGAATATTTCCTGACTTGTATTAAATCTCTAAAATGTAGAGTAATTCTGCTCCAGTCCTTTGTATACCCAAAGATAAGTCGGTATCTCCTAAATGTGCCTGTTTTTCCCTAGCATATTAAGTTTCTTCTAAAGAGGGATCTGGGTTTCCTGTCTATTCTGCATTGTTACTAGCAGTAAAAACCCCGTAGAAAGCAGGGAGACAAACAGGCCTTTGATAATTGTTTATTGAGTGCCCAGCTTGGCACACTGCAAAAGAAACTCCAGAGGGGCGGAAATACTACGCCTTGACCCAGGTGCCTTACAGGATTAGAAGACTCGTCTTTGAGCAGCGGAGTTCCTTTTACCAGACGATGCTCTCTGTTTGTAATAATAGCCAGTGCATTGGGTGACACACTAGAATGTGCTTTACTTTTATTTTCTGGTGAGTGTTCCAGTGATAAAAGCTAAAATCAAGAGCAGATTTTTCCAGAGCAGGGTTTCTCAACCTTGGCACTACTGACACTGTGGGCCAGATAATTCTTCGTGTGGCGGCTGTCCTGTGCCTTGTAGGATGTTTAGCAGCGTCCCTGGCCTCTAGCTCACTGGATGCCAGTAGTATGCCCCCAAACCCCGGTTATGACAATCAAAGATTTGTGTGTTGTTGTTAGTTGTCCCTGAGTTGCTCCGACTCATGGCAAACTTACGTATGACAGAGTGAAACATTGCCTGGTCCTGCAGCGTCTTCATGCTGGTTGGTATGTTTGAGTCCATTGCTGTGGCTAATGGTGTGACTCCACCCATTGAGGGTTTTCCTCATTGTCATTGGCCCTCTGCTTTACCAAACATGATGTCCTTTTCTAGCGATTGACCTTTCCTGATGATGTGTCCAAAGTAAGCACGCTGAAGTCTCACCATTCTCGCTTCTAAGAAGCATCCTGGTTGTGTGTCTTCTCAGACTGATTGGTTGGTTCCCCTGGCCATCCACGGTGTGTTTGTACAGTTGTTGGCAGATGACTGCTCTTCTCGAGGCAGCCTCAGCTGTTCTTGTGAGGGAGTGTGTCTCAGCTTCGAGGGGGTGCCCTCTGAGCCTTTGGTGGTAGACCCATTAGGAGAGCGGATTGGCCTCTTTTACCTGTACCCTCCTGTGATGAGAAGAGGGCTGGGGGCTTGAGGGATGGCTTCTATCAGCCATGTGGGGCTGGTGGGGGTGCCAGTGTGACCTTTGTTTGTGTGATGGGTATCGAGAGGGGAGAATGAAAAACTTGAAGACTGTTCTATGCTAGAACTGTCCCAGACCAGAATACGTCATTTAGTATATCTATTTATTTATTTAAGGAGCCCTGGTGGTTAAAGTGCTTGGCTGCTAACCAAAAGGTTGGTGGTTCAAATCCACCAGCTGCTCTGTGGAGAAAGATGTGGCAGTCTGTTTCCATAAAGGTTTGCAGCCTTGCAAACCCTGTGAGGCAGTTCTCCTCTGTCCTGTAGGGTCCCTATGAGTGAGGATCGACTTGACGTGTTTCCATTTCTTCTTTAATCGCTTTCGTTTTTAGTCTTTAAATTATATTTGCCTGGTTGACTACTGCATGAGATCCCACAGCATGAATCTGGGGGGAAAAGTTTGGCTCTGTTTTAAGATTGGTTTGTTTCTTTTGTCTTGTACTTGTAGTTAATAATGTACTTCCTAATATTCTATAGCATACAGATGTCAACCCTTTTCAGGCAGTGGACCGAATGATGTTAAATATGCGAAAGAGTATGCAGGAATTACAAAGAAACTTTGTAAGTACTAAATATAAATTGATGAGAATGTTGTTTTCAGTTATTAATACCCTATATTGTAGTGGCTTTAAACTTTTAACCATGATCGACAATGATTAAAAAAAATATACTTTATATCATTACTCAGTACATAAACACTGTGTACTTTATAAATACACCTGACACAGAAGTTTCATGAAAAAATAATCATTCTATTTACACAGCTAATATTTTCTATTTTAGTTCATTTTTCAAAACTAATGATCACTGTATTTCAAAAAACTGATTTCACAACCTACTTTTTGTTTATAACCTGTCTAAAAGAATTTGCAGCATCTACAGAATTAAGTTTGATGTTTAAAAAATACTCTAAAAACTTAGAAATTTCAGGAATGATGTTTATGTACTGATTAGATCCATACAGTCCAAAACATTATAAACGGCTACTAATACTCGTCCTTTTCTACTGACAGTATTAACGTCAGTAACAGCACTAACATAATTCTGTCTGAGGAGGAACTGCATCACTTTACTTATTGGTGTGGATTCTATGGATCATTTCAGAATGCCCAAACGTAGGGCATTATTAATGATTTTAGTAATGTAGCAATCTGGTATCCACAGGAGGCGTGAAGCTTCTTGGGGTGTGGCCGATTGGCTCAGTGCCGCAAAGCTGCTCACATGGTCACCCGCTGACTGTGAAAGTATGATAGGTTTCAGGGCACACCATTTGTGTTTAAACCTAAATGAAGCCACAGACTTGACCTCCAAGTGGAGCACCTGCCGTTACTCCTCGCAAGGCGAGTGGGGATGGCTACTTAAGATGGAGAGAGGGCTGGGCCTCCCTGAGTTGCCATTCTGATACACCGTACTGACACTGTCGTATCCTTCGCAGGACCTCTAGCTAGTTCTGTTACTTCATTGAATCCTTCTGGCATTAGTTTTTCATATTTGACTAGACTCTGACTTAACAAGAGTATATTTATCTCTAGGGTCAGCTCTCCATGGATCCCAATGGACATTCGTTTTGTTCTTCCTCGGTTATGACCTATTCCAAAGTGGGAGATGAAGCACCAAAGGTTTTCCAGGCCTCAACTCAGACTCGGAGAGCTCCAGGAGGAGTGAGTATCCTCCAAGAATTCTTAGAGCTTAGTAACCCATGCGATGAGGGATCACCCAGAGCAAATTTCAGTCACTAAAATTGGACCTGGTACTGTGGTGGGGGTTGGGGGGGGATGGAGACACGTGTCAGGGAAAGGCGTTAAAACTCGACTGTATTTACTTAGTTTATGGCATTTTTTGTCTCCTCCCTCCCTGTGAGTCTTTTTTCAAGTAAACATCTAATTGAGTTTATCACCTTTATGTGCTGACGAGGTAAGTGGACGCGGAAAGTAGTCTTTGTTTCGTGAGATAAATGCCGTTTAGTTTATATCTGAAGTAAATGAATTTTAAAAATCGTAAAATAATTCACACATACAAAAAGGATATAGAGAATACCCATATGCTTATCTCCCAGCTGAAGCAAATGCTCACATTTTTCTCTGTTCGCTGTGTGTTATGTGCTGTTAACATTACAGATGGGGTTAAACCCTCCAGTGTCCTCCACCTCGGCCCCTCCTCCCTCCCTCCGTCCTCAAAGAAAACCACCTTCCTGTATCTGGAGTTGGTTACTCTCATGCGTATTTTATTTTATTAAGTATGTATGATTCATAAACAATTTAACAGATTGTTTTGTAGGTTTCTAAGCTTAATATAACTGGTATTATATTTTAGTGCGTGTCTCTGCCGTTGCCTTTGCTCAGTAATATGCCTCTGAGATTTACTCAAGTTGATGTGTGTAGCCCTGGCTTCTTTATTTTAACTTGTAAATAGTCTTCCAGCATCTGAATGTATCACAGTTTTTGATCCATTTTCCTCTTGATAGATAACTAGGTATTTTCAGTTTTTCACTATACGTCCTTATACACGTCTCCTTGTGCAGACGTGTGAGAGCGTCTCTAGAGTCTAGGAATGGTATTACTGGGGTGTAGGATGTGTGTGGCTTCGTGTTTACCTAGCAGTTACCACGTGACCATCCGCTGTGATGGAAACAGTTGACTCCCACTGATTGTGGCATGAGAGGTCCTGTTTCTCCACATCCCTGTCAGTACTTGTAATACCAAGATTTAGGTTTGCCAGTCTGACGGGTATGAAATCATTCATTTTTTAGTTCTCACATATAAATATGCACCTTTTAATGATGCTCTTGCCATAAAAGAACCAAACCCAACCCGTTGCGGTTGAGTCGATTCTGACGTATAGTGACCCTCTAGGACAGAGTAGAACTGCCCCACGGGGTCTCCAAGGAGCAGCTGGTGGGTTTGAACTGCCATCCTTTTGGTTAGCAGCCGAATGCTTAACCACTGCACCACCAGGCCTCCTATAAGTGATAGAAAGTCTTAAATATAAGCAGAATATAATTTTGTATGTCCCACAACAAATCATGTTAATCTTTGGCTATCATAAATATCTCAGTAATATTCCAGAGAGTTGATGGGTGGGAGCCCTGAGACTGAGGTCATTAGGGTCGGCATGCCTGCTGAGTAATTAGCTGCTCTTACTCCTAGGAGGGCCGGTGTGAGCATCCATCTCGCACATCATCAGCGACAGTGCTGAAAGCACTAAGTCTTGTATAATTAAGTTATTCTTTGTTTTAATCTTTGATTACAAATTGGACAAAGGCTAAATTGTGTTGGTTCCATTTGCCTGGAAATTTTAATTTTTAAGCAGTTCAGGAAATATCAGAGGCACAGTATCACAATTTTACTACAAATTGGTGGTGGATCTGTAGGTGATCTGTGTAGATCCATAGTAGATCAATGGCCTTAATTCTATCAGTAAACAGGCCCTGAAGAGTTTAGAATTATATCCATTCCATATATATTTAAATTACAACTAAATAATTTGTATTTACTTTACTTTCACAGATAAAGGAAACCAGGAGAACTTTGAGAGATTCTGACAGTGGATTAGAGAAAATGGCTGTCGGTCATCACATCCGTGATCGAGCTCATGTCATTGAAAAGTCGAAGAACAGGAAGACTGGCAACGAAGAGGTCAGTCAGGAGTTCACCAACATGAGCGAAAGTAAGTTGTCGCGAAAATGGTGCTTGTTTCTTTTCAAATAGCAGCTTTACTTTCATACAATCTAGTTCTGATTTACTTTATGAATAATATGTGTAGAGAATACCTCGTCAGAGAAATAAAATTGCGGTTTTCTCATTTCATAGTAAATCTTTTTTATGGTGAATTTTAGCAATGTAGGCTGTCGTTTACTTTCCTTACTTTATGCTTGGAAAATAGAATCCTTAGGATGTTTATTTAGTAAGGCTATCGATAGGCAAATGGAGTTTTTAAATATTTCTTCTGATCATCAAGGAAGTATATTTGAAAAAGTATAAAGAATAAAGATCATCTGTAATAAAATAACTAAATATTTTAGTGTATTTTTTTCCTAATAGTTTTTCTATATTATACATATAAACACATACATTTTTCAAAATTAGAATTTTATTACCTATATAGTTAGTTGTATAATGTGTTTATTTTCACTCACCATTATAGTTGTGAACAAATCCCCTATGATGCTGTTTTTTAACAACATAATTTTTAATGGTTATCTGAAAGTTTATCATGAATAGACATAATTTATTTAAATCACTCTGTATTGTTGGACACTTAGACTTTGTATAGATAAGATTTTAATTTCTGGTATATGGCATATCATGTATGTAGCATTAGTAAATCTATCCATTGTCTAGATTTTTATATTCAGTCTTCAAGGCATTTATGTCCTTCCAGTGTCCTAACCTGTCTCACTATAGTCTTTAAATTATATTCGTCTATTTTCAGAAGGTTATTTTGAATAGCAGTCTTTATCGTGGGAAAGGGTTTTAAAATTATTTTATCTTAGAAAATGAAATTCTCTTAAAGTTGGAGTTTGATAAAAATTTTTATAGAATCCACAACATCTTAACCTTTTTTTAATCTCAACCTTTAATTTTATCATATTTAAATATATAGAGTACTTGACAGTAATTAACATGTTAAAGAAAAATTAGTGAAGGAACACACATTATTACAAAGGCAGCCTGAAAGAACAAGCGCATTCCTCTGTTGTGGAGTCAGATTACCGTCTTCATAACAACAAGGTGATGGATGAGGTGAAAAACCTGTCCTAGGAAGGACAACAGAGCTGTGAGGCCAAGTTAGGTAGGAAGATGAGGAGGTGAACAGGAAGTGTTAGCCACAGACGGAGCGTCAGATTCCAAGTACACAGGGACAGCGTGGTCACTCTGAGATCACCCAGAAATAAAGACTTAGAAGCCAGTGTAATTGGGTCGAGGGCTCCATTGGGTAGAATAATAGGATATTCAGGCAGATGAGTGAAAAAATCAGATAATCAGTAAAACCAGATCGTCAGTAGCTTCCTGCCTTTATCTTGAGATTCGGCTGATAGGAGAACCAGCAGCCTAGAATAAAGTGTGTGGGGAACAAGGCAGTCACTGACAGTTAGACCTCAACACTCATTCCCTTTATTTTGACATTTAATGTAGGTGATGCTCATGCTTTTGATGACGAGTGGCAAAGTGAGGTCTTGAGGTACAAACCCGGGGGAAGATGGCATAACCTAGAAGACAAGAGGATGTCCAGTGTTGGTCACGAGAACGCAGGATCCCGAGAACTTAGAAGAAGGTAAAATTATTTGTGAAACACTGGTTCGTTTCAAGAAGAATTAGAAGAAAAGTGATGTAATTTTAACTACTGTTTGCAAGAAGTTTTGATGAACACCAAAGCTGTATCCACAATATTTTTTGTGAAAGATACAATAATTTTACATTAAATCTGAGTGTTCCACACAAGTTTAAATTTATACCAAAAAACAATATTTTAGGATTGAAGGATTAATAACTCACTACTGAACTGTGACTCAGTATAGTCAGGAGCCAAAATCCTCCCAAGGAAAAGTTAATGTACTGTAATATAGTTGTCCTCGTGAAACAGATCTTCACTCGGATGTACATGAAGACGTGCATTTCACACCAGCGAGCGAGGTCCGTGTCTGGAGGATTGGTAAAGGGGTCGGAGTATCTGCAAGACTTAACGACTTCCCTACAAGTCAGAATTCCGCATTTAATGGTCATGAATTTGTAGACCCCTGTATGATATGCAGTGATACGTGGAATATGTGAAATGCTGTGATTCATGTGTGCTAGGTATTTTGGAATAACTTTAACAGAAGTTTGGTCTTTTTGACATTACTTTTCGGAGTACCTGTGCAAAATAAATGTAGTGAAACCACAGATTAAAGATTTTTACACATTTGGTACATATTCTGGAGATTTACAATCCTATTTGGTTCTCTGGGGGAAACGTTGAAGGTAATACCTAATTCCTATTGAAATTACACTTGAAAGAGAGGGAGGCCTCACCGAGCCTTAAAACAGAAATCTGTTCTAGGCCATAAGAGAGTGGAGGAGTGCTGCAGAAGGTGGAAGGCTTCACAGAACCAGCGGTAGCCATGGACAAGTGGGTATCAAGTAACTCAGAAGCCTCGTGCAGAATTTCAAGCAGTAGCATCTTTTCTTTTAAAATACTTCTTCAAAAATTTAGAGGACTTTCCCCTATATTTTCTACAGAATGAACTTGAAAACTTGCCCCCATTTTAATTTTAGATAATACTTGTCTCACTTTGACAAGTTTACTGATTAAAACCTAACAGTGTTCAATTTGAATGTGAAATCTGGGTCCCCGTTGGAGAAAGCATGTTCTTTCTGGGCAATCTGTAAATTTGTGGCCTTAACAGTGGCATTTTCTCTAAACCAGTACTGTCCAGTAGAACTTTCAGCAGTAACGAAAATGTTTATGACTCTCCGCTGTCCAATATAGTAGCCACTAGCCACATGTGGCTACTGAATCCCACTTGAAATGTGGCTGGTGCAACTGAGAAACTATATTTTTTATTTTAATTAATTTAAATTTTGTAATGCGACTAGTGGCTACCGTACTGGACAGTGTGGCTTAAAACATAGGTAGGTAAATCTAGCTCAGGTGACCATCTTTTGCTGTCCTAAATGTTGGAGACAGTGAAACTGTCTGCCTTATGTTTTTCAAAGCTATTGAGGCATTTTTAAAATAAAACTCTCCTTAAGTTACAGTGGATTCAAACCTGTTTGTATTGATTTACAATACCAACACTGACTGTGTTAAAGATGGTATTAATGTTCGTCTGTACATTCCTCAGGGAGAAACCTCGCCAAAGTCCAGCCATTGAAAGTGGAAAAAGATCAAAAGCCTTTGTGGACAAACTCAACGTCAAAGGATCATCTGTCCAAATCGGCAAAAAATAAATCACCGTGCATTTAATTTGTTTAGTTTTGGTTGTTTTAACAGAAAAAGTAATGGTGCTGGGTAATATGTTAGACCAATCTCTTGTTTTTAAATCCATACTGTACTTCACAACTTTCTTCTGATAGCTGAATGTTCTTAGAAGTGCTATCTTTATATTTCCCCTACTTCTAGGAAGAAATCTTTGGTTTTCAACCATGTGAATAAATGTTTAAACTTTCTATAAAATTCATTTTTTTAAAACATACTAATTTTTAAAGATCAGATGTAGATTTTGCTTTCTCAGTTATTTTCCCATGGCTGTGTATCTTTTAAACTTCTGAAGATGGGATAATGGAGCTCATTTTATCATCTGCAATTACAGTTATAAGTAAAATGTTAAAAGTAGTCTCACTTTTCACTGACTAACACTATACTAGAGTGATGTTAATAAAAGTCTCAGTAATTTATCTCAAAATTTATGCTGTTACGTAGCCAGTTAGCTTAAAGCTTTATAAAAAATAAAATTATACTATTATAATTTTTTTAATTAGGTATTATTTTGATAGACATAAATAAGTGTTCATTTTCAAAGAAAAATATTTTAAATTGCTAAAGTACATGATTTTTTATTATAGTTTCTTTATATAATGTATTCTTTTTGTTTTACATTCTTAACATTCATCAAACTTTCCATCGACCTTTCTATTTAACTCCTTGAGGTGGTATGTTTCTGCCCTCCTTACCACAGATAGGTTCATCTGTCCCCAAGGCTAACATTTTGCAGTTGGAGTGTCCTTGGAGAAACCTAGCCTTTGTGTGACATCTAGAAAAATGCATTTGGTATTCTGCAAACTTGAATGATTGATTATCTCAAAATTTGTTAGACAGGTGATGTGTTTTTGAGTAAGGTGCTTAATAATTCAATTGTTCCCTTTTTAATTATGCCCTTTAAAAATTTGGCTGTAGCTTCTTTATTCTAGAATTCAAGCATTAATCTGTTTTTATAAAAGTTAGGTTTGAAGTTAGTAAGAATATTAAATCTTAACTCTTAAGTCTTTGTTGTTTTCTATCAAGGAAAAAGAAACAACAGAAAACTCCCTACCACTCTATAATCCTAATCCTGTGTCTTCCTCTAAGTTTAGAATTAAAACTACTTAAATTATGCTCATACTCCTTAAATTTTCTATATTATGTTGATGTTAATTTTACTAGTCTGTATTTCATGCTTTTAATTAGTTACTAATTAAATATGTTCATTCATTTTTAGACCCAAAATTGAACATGTGTTGAAGTTAGAAATGTTAACATTTCCCTTTTACAAACGTGTTTCTAGTTTAGTATGCTATAACATATTGAGAAGTTCTCATTGACGTACATTTTAAATAATACTTTGGAATAAATTAACTCAGCAGGGCAAAACCTCAACAGAAAGTAGACACCGTAATTATTTTCCTTTTGCCTGAATCATTACACTGATGATTACTTGAATAATTACATTCTAATCTGAAAACCCACTTTAATAACTAGTTTTGCCTAAAACAGTGTAACTCCTGTACATCATATAGCAGTTAGGGAATTCAGAGACACTTTTCTCCTGACAGTTTGTTTACCATGGAAATCAAATAAAATCTGAATTATATATTTCTTCCTCTGACACAATGCTTCATAAAGGACGTTTATAAAACGTGACATATAGAGATTAAATATCAATTCTTTGTGTTGATAGGATCCTAAAATGACTGTTTTCAGAATTTGTTTTTTACCATAATACTGAAGTCATTTTAACAGTATGAAAAAGATGGCTCTGTGTAGCTTGTAGTACAGATTTTTTTTTTCTTTTACTGGTGACCACTGATCTTTTTGGACCCCTTGGTCTTTTGGGAATGCATGAATATTGACAATTTGGTGAATGTAGCCTTAGCAACAAAGCCTGGTTAAATGCTTATGCTCACTGCCACATTAGAAGTTTTCCCGACACCGGGCATTCTGACTAATGGGTTTTCCTTACTCTGCCTTCGCGGCTTCATTGTCCTGTACTGTTACAAGGCAGTGGCAGTGGCACATTGCAGTCAGATGGTGCCCTGCCTGTGGCCTCAGCTACGTGTCACCTTTTCAGTGATCCTACCATGGACCTAAAAACAGCACGGCTATGGGAAGTTGCTCATAAAGAGACAAGGAAATCTTGTGGTCCTGACCTTTGCACATGGTTCCAAATAGGGACCTAAGGCTTTTCCCTCTTACACTGTTAGGTAATCACTATTTTGTTATTAATATAAATAATTATAACATTATTAATAATAATCATAATAATTATGCTACAGGAGGATTGTATTTTGTTTTACAGAAATCATTTTGGCCTTTGACATTTGAAATTATAATCCTGTCTTCTTCCTAACCCCCTGTTTTTAAATTTCATTCATTTTTGTTTAGTGTAAATCATATTAAATGTAAACTATTTCATAAAAATCACAAAAATTGCTCTAGTAAAGTTTTGTTCAAATTAACTTTTGCCTAGTATTAACCCTAAAAGGGCATTAGTTTGCTTGAATTATAAAAAGCTGAAAGTGTAATTGAAGTAAAAATCGCTTTAACAATAAAGCCATTGCCGCAATACTCAGAACAATTAAAATATGCGTCAGAACAAAATTCTGCCTGCTATTATTGTATGTAAACTAGCTGTGTGTGTATCTTATTTTTGTGGTTAAATTATTGTTGATGAAGCTAAATCTGAATTAAAGACTTCTAAAACAGGTAGATGGAGGCAGGGACTAAGTTTTTTAACCCATTTAAGAAACCAGAACTAATGCCCGAACTGTCTCGACAACTCACTGGGCTGAGTGAGTCAGTGTTCAGAAATGTAGCTGTCTTAGGCTGGGTTCTCTAGAGAGCAAAACCAGTGAAGCATGTATCATACATATATGTCTCTACACACACATATCCAGAAAGAGATTTATATCAAGGAAATGGCCCATGGTTGTAGAGGCTGGAAAGTCCCAAGTCCGTGGGTCAGGCTGGAGGCTTCTCCTGACTCATGTAGCTGCAGGGGCTGGTGAACCCAAGATCGGCAGGTCAGACAACAGGCCTCTAGCTCACAGCCTGCAGAGACTGACAAATCCCAAGATCAGCCGACAGGACGGCAGGTAAGCTGGCAGGCCACTGGTGCACAGACTGCGGAGGCTGACAAATCCCAAGATCGGCAGGTAAGCTGCTGGCTCAAGTTCCAAGAACCAGAGGTCAGATGAACAGGAGCCAGCTGCAGATGTAGAGTGAGCGAAAGCCTGAGAGCCTTGTCAGAAAGTCCACCTATGTTGGATGCAGGCCACACCTCCAAGGAAACGCCCTTTCACTGACTGGCTGCTCATAGCGGCTCCCATCATGGAGGTGGTCACTTTATATCAAATCTCATCATGGAGGTGATCACATCATCATACAACTGCCAAACTGCATCATAACTGCCAAACCACCGAGAATCATGGCCCAGCCAAGTTGTCACACAACCTTAACAGTCCCAGTCCATCCCGTGTCAGTTTGGCACCTGTACACATCTCGCAAAACCGTACATGATCTCTGAGTAAAGACAATTATAAAATCATACCTGCACCTAACATGATACAGCAAACGCGCAGACAGCTGAAAATGCAGTGGCCCTGTTCACACGTTTGTAAATGAAGAAAGCAAAAATACTTGATGCTCACATACAAGGAAGAAATACTCGTAATTACAGCCCATTTCTGCAACTGCTCGTGGGGTTGTAACTGGTATTTAGAACTACCTTCTTCCACCACCCATTCCATATTCCCTTTACCCTCAGCAAGCACCCGTGGTTCTTTGCCTGGTGGGGTGACCCAAACCTTCATTCCTGAAGGGTCTGGGTCATTAGTAGTCGTGTCAGAATTGGGTTGCTGTGGTTTTCCATTGACTTCAATCACAGGGCATGGTAGTACTAAGATGCCATAAGGGAGTTCCTGCGTTCCAGACATACTCTAACTCCGTTATGTAGTATCAATCCTATTTCCTCCTGATAATCAGGATCATTCACACCAGCCAATATGGTAACGCCTTTCTTTGCCTGTTGATCCAGAGGCGTAAGAGGCCAGGTGGCATTTTTAACTTACAGTTTAATGGAATCAGTGATGTGTCTCCAGGTGGGAGCATTCCTCCCTTTGGAACTAAGACCTCTAGACCCTGAGAGCTTAAATTTTGCAAGGGGGTCATTTCCACCCCTGGATTCCTGGACCCGTAAATCCTGGCTATGGGAGAAACAGCACCATATATTGGACACTGGTTTGGTGCATATACAGCCTCCTGGAGAACGTTGCCCCAACCGTGCAAGGTACTGCCAGCTAGCTGGTGCTGTAATCGTGCCTTTAGAAGGCCATTCCATCATTCTATCAAGCAAGTTGCAGGAGCCAGGGTGAGCAAAAGCCCATGAACCTTGCCAGAAAGTTTACCTATAGTGGATGCAGGCCACACCCCCAAGGAAACTGCCTTTCAGCTGATTGGCTGCTCACAGCAGATCCTATCATGGAAATGATCCATTATATCAGATCTCATCATGGAGATGATAACATCATTATATGACTGCCAAACTGCATAACTGCCAAACCGCCGAGAATCATGGCGCAGCCAAGTTGACAACCTTAACAATCGCACGAGCCTTTAATGTGTTTCTAACTTACGATTTTATCATGATGAACTGAATCAAAAGCTGAAACAGAGATTTCTTACTGATCATTGATTAACTTTCCACAAGGAAAAAATGTAGGATTATGTCACATCATAACAGTTCTTTTGTCGTATGGATGGAGTCCATATACCTAGAGCTGCTGTCACATCAGTTTTCAATCGTGTATATGCTTACCTCACTTATGGGTAGAAAGTAGACGCCTGCTATTGTTACATGGGCTGTCACTATTAAATATTAGGTCTCCTTGATCATCCCTAAATACCTTGAGTTTTACTCCTATTTATGGTTGAGTCAGCTTATAGTAAATCATATCTTCAAGTAAGGGATAGGGAGCCATGACCGTTTTTATGATGTCTTAACGCGAAATGCCGCTGACCAGCAACGCGGAGGCTATCTGGGCTATGCACGATGTGAGGTTTTTCACTTGTAACCGTGTCTATTTTAGTCGGTAAGGAAGAACTGGTCTATAATGGTAAATGGGACCATTCAAAATTAGACATGTCCGTCAATTCTGCCTAAATGGAGAAAAAACATACTGGCCATTGATTTATACTTCGAAGAAAGTGTCAGCAATGCGATTGGAAAAAACCTGTGTCTATGATAGGTGCAATAATTAAAACTCCGGTCAAGTACCGTCTTTTATAAATAAGTGGTTCCCGCCTTCATAATATAGTTCCATAATAGTATGACTAGACAGAACACATGAAATAGACTTTGAAAAGTAGTGCCTGTTAAGTGTAGAGCACTGAGCTTACATGCTAGAGGAATAAAAACATAAAGTTGTGGCTCCTGCCATCATCATCCAGCAGTGTTTCTCTAAGAAAGGCATTCTTGGCATTTAGAGTGGCCGGTTCTTCATTTAAGAGAGCCCCTCGGATTACAGGGTATTTATAGCACCTCTGGCTCTCCTTCCACTATATATCGGTAGCCTTCCTGTTGTCATAACAAGAGTCACAACAAACAAGGACACCTCTCATTTCCAAAGCTGAAGTGTGGGGGAGGGGGATATATTGCCTCCTAGTTAAGAACCAGGAGAAAAGACCGGGCAGTCTGCTTTCGTAAAGATTATAGCCTAGGAAACCCTATGAGGCAGTTCTACTCTGTCCTACAGGGTCACCGTGAATCGGAATCAAATCGGAGGCCATGGTCTCAGCAGTTTGAAGCATTTTTCCTCAGAGATTTATATGTATTTCTACCAAATGCAGTTAGACAACTTGGATAATCTTAAATTCAATCAGTTGGAGTTTTTTTTACCAACCCAATCAGAACGCCTTGGAGAAACTCTATGGGGGAAGTTCTGCCCTGTCCTATAGGGTCACTGTGAGTCAAAATCGACTCGACAGCAACAGGTTTTGGGCTTAATTCCTGTTTTTTTTTTTTTTTTTTTTTTTTTACAGTTAAGGTAATCAAAGCCCAGAAAGACTAAGAATAACCTTAATTCATGTGGATAAAACCCGTTGCTGTTGAGTCGATTCTGACTCATAGTGACCCTATAGGATAGTGCAGAACTTCCCTATAAGGTTTTCAAGGCTGTCATCTTACGGAAGCAGATTGCCACATCTTTCTCTCTGAGGAGCGGCTGGTGGGTTTGAATCACCAACCTGTCGGTGAACAGCCCAGTGCTTTAAGGACTGTGCCACCGGGGCTCCCATTCATGTGGATACTTCACTCCTACATTCAATAATAACTTGAGTGTGCTGTATGCCAGGCTCTGTTCTAACCAAAAACAAAAACAAAAAACAAACCCATTGCCATCGAGTCAATGTCCTATAGGGTTTCCAAGGCGTGGCTGGTGGATTCAAACTGCCAACATTTTTGGGGGGTAGCAGCCAAGCTCTTAATCACTGCGCCACCAGGCTCTGTTCTAGATGCTGGGAAAATCACGATGAGTAACATTGGCAAGTCAAGTCAATAAGCAATCTTCCACAGAGAAAACTTTCACTATTGAGAAAGTGATAATGTGGTTGAGAGTGACTGGTGTCTTGTGTGCGTGACAGAGTGGATGGTCGGGGAAGGTCTTTATGGGGAGATGACATTTAGTTGGAGACGTAAATAACGAGAAGGAGCCAGCCTTGTGAGGGACAAAGAGAAGGATGTGCCAAGCAGCAGGTGCACACAGCAGGTGGACCAGGCTTGATGTGCCTGAGGAACAGAATGGAGGCCATTTACACAGGCAGAGCGGGACACGGTGAAGCCAGAGAGCTCAAGAGTCCTGCTCGCGTGGAGCCAGGTAACTCCGGGTGAGGAGCTGGAATCTCACGCTACATGTCACGTGGGAGTGTCGGAGGAGTTTAAGCAGAACCGGCACTGGGAGAGAAAATTCCTCTAACAAATTCAGTGCTCTTTGTGCGTATCTCGTAGTGGAACCAACGACTTAAAGGTGCAGCCACCTAAGGTATTTTCACAGAAGTTGGACAATTGAGAAAGTAAAGACGATCTTAGATTTAAAAACTGCCCTGGCCTCGCCAGTCTGGGATAACAAGCATCGATAAAGCCGGCAGCGAAGACAACAGGCAGCCAGTTCTCCAGGGACGCTGCAGAGGAGACGGCACAACCCGCTTGTTGTGGGCCTGCTGGCTTTCTTAGGCAGAAACTTTGTTCTCTCAAATCGAACTACCAGAAACTTTGCTGTTTGAAATTACACTAATGAAACCACTTTCGACTGGCGGATCTTAATCACTTTGACACACAGAAGCAGCCTCGATTTATAACCCAGGTGAAGTACTTCAGATAAGGGATTTCTGAGCACAGCCTTCCACATCTATCTTCATTAACCTTATTGTTTCCAAGGAAACGTGACCTGGTCCATTTCATTGTCCAGACCTAAAACTGACTTCTTTACACACGTCCCTGCCTTGTTTTGAGCCTATCAAAACACTACATTTAAATTTTGCCTGAATTCCACCCTTCCCCCAACTCCTGTAGGAATGCCATCTTTTCCTTTGGTCAGACTCCCATGGTCCCTCTATCTGCTGTGTGGTTTCCCTCACTGCAATGGGCCAATAAGCTGGGCTGTGTAGATAACAAGTTCATCCTTGGTGGTCTTGGGTGATAGACTAGGACATTTGGAGGTTCTGCTGGAAATAGTCATGAGTCATCAGATTAGAGAATCAATTCCAGAACCAAAATCTCTTAACGGTCAGGATTCTCCAGAGAAGTGGGATAGACTATGGACACACACATTTATTTTAAGGAATTGGCTCACATGATTGTGGCGGCTGGCAAGTCCTAAATCCGTAGGGCGGGCTGGAAACTTAGACAGGAGTCTTGAGGCAGAATTTTTTCTTCTGTGAGAAACCTGTTTTTGCTCTTAAAGTCTTCAACTGATTGGGTGAGGCCCGCTGACATTATCGAGGGTAATCTCCTTTACTTAAAGTCAACGGATTATAGATGTTAACCACATCTACAAAATACCTTCACAGCAACACCTAAATTAGTGTTTAATTAAATAACTGGGTACTAAGTGCTATGCCTGCTAACAAAGAGGTCGGTCAACAGTTCAAATCCACCAGGCACTCCTTGGAAACTCTATGGGGCAGTTCTACTCTGTCCTATAGTGTCGCTAAGAGTCAGAATTGACTTGATGTCAGTGGGTTTGGTTTTTTTGGATAGATGGCACAAACAGTTAAGTGCTTGACTGCTAACCAAAAGGTTGGCAGTTTGAAACCGCTCAGCGGCTCTGCAGGAGAAAGACCCGATGATCTACTTACATAAAGATTACAGCCGAGAAAATCCTCTGGGGCAATTTTGCTCTGTTGCGTGGGGTTGCTGTGAGTCAGAGTCGACTTGATGGCACCTAACAGCAACGTAGGTTAGCCATGTTGGCACATACAGTTAACCATCACAACCTAGTGTGTTAGCTGAAACACTATTGCCAGGTCCTTATCTAATTTTCAAGACAGAAAATGTTAGTCCTTGAATACTTGAACAATTTCTAAGTAAAAAATGATAGAGAGCTTTAGTCATTAAGATAGTTTCAATTTACCCTTATTGTTACATATTATCAAATAAATATGAATTAACAGAACGTGCAAATGCTTTGAATGATGTTATATATATTTTATTTTTCCACCTTAAAACTTGTAAAGGTAATCTAAAATGTGTACTCAAAAAATTAGCTGGACGGTTCTTGGATTTCTCTTCTGGTTTTCTTTTTCTCTCGAGAAAACAAAAGATGATTATGGTTAAAAGTGGTGATTAACAAAAATAAGAGTGTATTCAGTATAATAATTACAGAAAAATATGAATATATACATACGAGATAATGAATATGATTTGTTACTTAAGGAAATTACTAGTTTGTGAAATGTAATTTCTATTTAATAAATACTCTATTTTATTTAATATGCAGGTAGGATTAATTATATCTTTATATTGAAGTAAAAACCTTTAATTTTATTATCTGTTTATGCAGTTACGTATTTAGTTTATGAACGTGTAAACAAATACATATAATGGTAAATAAAGATTAATTTTAAGAAGTCTATAAATGGGAAAAGTTTAAGTGTATGTTCAATATTAATGCATTTATTCATAAAACAGCTTACAAATTCTTTATTACAAATTATTACGTGAATGTTATACAAAAAGTAAATTAGAAATGCATCAGTGAGTCCAATTTTTCTTTTCTTGTATCTTGTAATGTATTTTCCTCTGATTTCTATTTATTTTATGTCATTCATTCCGCAAATATATATTGAGCACCTAGTAAGTGTTGTTTTGTTCATTGTGTTCACAGCAATGAACCAAACAAAACTGCTGTCCTGTGGAGCTTACGTTCTAGCTGAGAGAGCCAGGCAATCAAACAAACAGATACGAAAATGTCAGGTGCTAAATATATCTAAGGCGCAGCGGCGGTTCAGTGGTGGCACTCTTGCCTTCCATGCGAGACCCAGTTTGATTCTGGGCCAATGCACCTCAGTTGCAGCCACCACCCGTCTGTCAGTGGAGGCCTGCACGTTGCTATGATGCTGAACAGGTTTCAGCGGAGCATCCAGACTAAGATGGGCTGAGAAGAAAGACCTGGCCAGTGAAAACCCTGTGGGTCACAACAGTCAGAACGCATTGTGCATGGGGTCACCGTGAGTCTGGGCCAACTCCACAGCAGTTAAGAACAACAAAATATATCTAAGAAGTGCTATCAAGGAAAAGGAAGCAGCTGAGAAGATAGAAAGGGAGGTACATGTCATTTAGAAGGGTTGGTCAAGGAACAAGGGTTGGTGTCACAGTGGTTAAAGCACTCAGCTGCTAACCAGAAGGTTGGAGGTTCAAATCCATCAGCCCCTCTGCAGGATAAGGATGTAGCAGTCTGCTTCCGCAAACATTTACAGCCTTGGAAATCCTGTGGGGCAGTTCTACTCTGTCCTATAGGGTCGCTATGAGTCCCATTGACTGAATGGCAGAAGATGTGGTTTTTTTTTTGTTTGTCACAGAGCACCTGGATGACAAAAGCTATTTGAACAGATATAAGAAAGTGAGGAAAGGAGTCGTGAGATATCCAGCTAACTGGGGAAGAGAAGAGGCTTCCCGCTTGAGGAGCACAAGGAGGTAGGGTGGCCGGTGCAATGAGCCAGGGCGACGGAAGTGGGAATACGTCGGGGAGTCGCTCACGCGGGGCCTTGAGGGCTCTTTGAATGGGAGGGGAAGCCGTTTCAGATCTAAAAAAAAATTATTTCAAACCTGCACACATGTAGAGATAGCAACACAATGGGTTTACTGGAGTATTGTCAGCAGAGAAAAGACGCCATCTGACTTAAAGGGACACTGCAGTTACTGTGTGGAGGGGAGACTGGACAGCACAGGGCCGAAGCACAGACACCCCTCAGGAGGCCGCGCAGTGAGTCAGGCGAGTGATGACGGCGGTGGAGGTGGGAGAAAGCGGAGACTCCGGATATGTATGGAGGATAGCGCAGGTAGGGTATGCTAACAGGTAAGATGAGGCCTGTCAGACAGAGGTGTCAAAGAGACCGACGTTTTCGGCCTGGACAACTTGAAGAATGGAGTTTCCGTTTATGAGATGGTGACGGGTGCAGGAGAAGGTTTTGGAAGGAAAATCAGAAGCTCGGTTTTGGACATGTTGAATTTGAGATGCCGCTAAACCACCCGAGTGGAATCAATTGCCAAGGACTGGACAGAAAACATTCACACTGAACAATACAAACAACATCTTGAAATGAGAGAAAGCACTCGTAATTCTCGTAATTGATAGCTCATACACTTTTGTTTTCTATGTTCTCTTTCAGGTCATATCCTTATTTTTTCATATTTGTAATAGTAACAAAAATGAAATTTGGCATTCTTTTTTTTAGTTAAATTCTGTTATAAACATTTCTCCACATTTCAATATAGGCAAAACAACCATGTTTACAGGCTCATCTTTATAGAGCAGTAACTGCATCTGTAATAATAATAATAACAGTAGTAATATTGAAAAAGACGAAGATGAGCAAAGAGATAAGGAAATGCCCGCACAGCAGGAGCCGACACTTGGTGAACCCCGCAAAGCACTGCACTTTTTCTTCCAAGCCGGCAGAGGGCGCTCGGACCGCCGAGGGCCCCTCTCCGCGCTTCGGCCGGAAGCTCCTCCCCCTTCCGTCGGAAGCCCCACCCCTTCTATTCCTTTCCCCGCCCCTTCCTCCTTCACTCCGGAAGTGGCTGCCGGCGTGACCTGGAGCACTTCTGGCTGCGGTGCCGGTTGCCGAGCAGACTCCGAGGCGCCGGAGGTGCACGGCTGTTCTGCGCTCGCCATGAGGCTGCTGGCCGCCGCCGCGGCTGTGGGGCGCGGGCCGCTCCCGTGGGTCCCCGCCGCCTTGGGCTGGCAGGGGAAGCAGGTACTGTGCGGGCGAGGCGAGGCCCTCTGTGCCCCGGGGCTAGGAAGGCAGTGACCCCGGCTCCATCCCCGGGACCCGGGACTGACAGCGCCACGTGCCCGGCGGGCGGTGCTGCGTGTCGGCTCGCGTTGGTGAGCAGCCTCGGTGCCCGGGGAGTGGCGGGGCCCCCAGCTCGTGGGTAAGCAAGGTAAATCTCGAGGAGTGACTTGCGTGAAGGTCAGACGGCTGCACGTGCGTCGTGTTCGGGGCTCGAACCCAGGTCAGCGGACTCGTTGTCCAGTGCTCTTTTCACTGCACAGTATTCTTGGGCTGACCGTTCCTCTCCGCCGGCCCTGGGTCATTTGATGTGGCGCTCCGACCACCGGTCCTTTTCTGTACTCAGTTATCAGGCACGTAGCGGTTTAAAGACTGGGAATTTTTTTTTTTTTTTTTTTGGAGAGGCGCGGAGTGGGGTATGGTTAGTTAGGGCTGGAGCTTTTCCTCTCACGCAAAACTCGTTTGCGTTTCGCTCTTTGGTGTCCCCGGGATTTGACCAACTAAGGGTTTATCACCCCGATTATATTGGTATTTTACCCACCTTTTCAAGCTCTTCTGCCTTTCTTCTTCCCAGAAATGGTTGGGGTGCATTTTGGATATGAAGTTCTTTGGGGGAGAGGCTTGTACTATGTCTTGATTCCGTAAGATACAGGATTTTTCTCCCCAGAGTAAAATAAAAGTAAATAATAATAAACTTAAAAAATTTTTTTGTTTTGTTTAGAAGAATTGGAACTTGTTTTGGGGGGGCCACCTTGGAGCTCTTGACACCACTACATAGAGCATTTAAATCTTTTCTCAAACTTACTTGCTGGTTGTGAACCTACCATAAGGGAGAGGTGGAAAAAGTATAAGTTAAGCTAAAACTTGTATTCCCTACCAAAGTGGCTGTTGAGAACTGTCTTTCTGATTTTATTGGCCTCGCTGTGTATTTTCAAATCTGTCACATTTGGCAAAGTTATCTGTCCCCTTTTATGCCACCACACTGTAGGGCACCCGCTTGTCCACTGGTGTTCATCAAGAGTGTCAGTCACTCACCCTTTTAGCTCAGTAATGAAGTCACTCCTGAGATTCACCTTTCATCCAAAGATTAGACAGGCCCATAAAACAAAATGATACCAAAAGAACACACCAGCCCAGGGACAAGGACTAGAAGGCAGAAGGGGACAGGAAAGCTGGTAATAGGGAACCCAAGGTCGGGAGGCAGAGTGTTGACATGTGGGTGTGGTAACCACTGTTACAAAACAATGTGTGTGCTGTTAAACGAGAAGATAGTTCTGTAAACCTTCATCTAAAGTACAATAAACTAATAACAAAAAGTTTCAGTCACTGAAGCCATTCTCTTCTCTAGAGATTGAAGGTTTGGTGGGACTGCAGGAGATAGAGAATTACAAACCAGGATTTAGAAAGTAAGCACTCAAGAGCTCAGAGTATTAAACTTCGGCATTTTGGTTGGAACAAGAACTAGTCATATGGCTCAATTCCATTTGCAGGTTTTGTCAGAGCGGTGTGCCATAGGACACGGACCGCATTGCTGGGTTTTAAGTTCCTTAAGCACAGAGACCACACTCGTCCAGTTCACCTTTCTGCACTCCATAGATGTGCACACCTTGTGCATATTAGTGACTTCACTGTTGTCATCCACTAGGATTAAGTGGTGGGACATAAGGTCCAGTGTCATCATCCAC